AACAAGAAGAAGAAAAGAAGAAGAAAAGAAGAAGGAAGAAGAAGGAAGAAGAAGAAGAAGAAGAAGAAGAAGAAGAAGAAGAAGAAGCTCTTATATCGCGCGCTCTGACTTCCACCTGATCACACGTCTGCCGGCATATTTCCTCTTGTGTCTTATTGGTTTGAGGAAGTCGATGGGAAAAAATGGGATTTCAATAATGTATTTTTTAATGGACATGAAACACCTTCATACAAAACCCTCAATTTTTTGTCCAGAAAATGCCAAATTCTTTTATTTCATGATTTTGACAAGCGTCTGATTTCAGCATGATGTCTCCCATTTTACTTATGAGCAAGTGCTGCATGACCCATTGGCCAATACCAAAACGTCAAACTTGCAACATTTCTTGTAAGCATTATTGTGACATCCCAGGTATACGACCACAGTAGTTGATCCCCTTAAGTCCATCCAGATAACCACTCATACTTTCTGTATCTAGACTGACCTTGATCTGTCAATGCTGGACAGTCAGAAGAAATCGGGAGTAACGGACTGCTAAATTGACGCCAGGAACCACCCCCGTAATTCACATTCCGATTCCAACCCTTGTTGTTTTTTGTGGGGGTTTTTAATCACCTCGTATATCTCGAAAACAAATAGTTGCTGTTGAAGTCATTCCAAAGAGTTAAGATTAAACTTAAAAAACAACAACACTCCAAAACAACAGCGGTGGCAACAGCTACATGTACAAGTATGCCCATTAATTCTCGAGGACTCTACTGTTGTAGTTTAGCCTGAAATCCGGTAGCGATTAATCTTTGGAAATGCTCATTTTCCGGATATTGATCTCAAGCGTCTTCAAAGGCTGATAAGGATTTCCATTCCTGACAAAGTCGGACCAGTCTTTACTTCCACCTCTTGACCTTTCCAATCTCTTTCTAATTTCTAATCCAATTCCCGCTTTTGCACTTCCCCAGACCAATAAGACACAGAGGGAAATAACTGGGCAGACGTGTGATAAGGTGGAAGTCGTAATGCCGGGTCAGATCGGAGCGATCGATGTCAGCGTATCAGAGGTTTTGAGGAATGCTTCCCGCGATATCGTTTCATTAAACATTCACCAGCTCCGAAGACCAAGGGTCGGAATCGGAATTGTGAATTACAGGGGGGGGGGGGGGGGGGAGGGGGGGGGGGGTTCTAGAGACAAAGGGAGGAGGGGGGGGGGGTTTTTTTTGTTTTTTTTTTTTGTAAAGTGTTTTACGGCGCTCGCAACTGCATAAGGTCATATGAGCGCGCGGGACACACCTAATATTTCAGTTGGTAGGAAATTTTGAATTTTGCCCGGGTGGCGGCCGAAGCCTACTCTTATCGATTTTAGACCACCAAGGGATCTTTAACGTGCGCAACTTGCACACGGACCCTCCGAGATTTTTCGCCCTTGTCCGAGAAGGCTAGGTGTAGATCTTTCCTACCAGAAGATCAGGGGTGTGGCAGAAAGACAGCAGTAAGGAGGAGCCAAGGAGTAGCAGTAGAAAGGCTGCAGAAAGAGTCAGGAGCCCAGAGGAGGGGGCAAAGGAGGTGAGGGGGTGGGGACAGAAAGTGGAAATGAAAGGAGACAACAGAACATTGCTAGAAAGCAGGAAAGGAGGTGAAAGGAGAAAATTTTAGAGAAGAAAATGTTTTGGTGGCTACCCGGATTCGAACCCGGGACCTTTGAATGAGAGGCCAACACCTTGACCTCTAGGCCACGAGAGCCCCCTAGGTTGTGGTTGCCTAGCTAGACAGCATTTTTATTTCTGGAGTTGATATAACCTTGTGCGAAACTTACGAAATGAGTTGGTGGTGAGGAAATGTTCATTACAAAGAGCTCTCTGCTCTTTATTAATGTTAATCATGATCTCAGCAGGCAAAGGAAACTTGAGAAAACTAACTTCAAACTTCTGTTGGCCTGTTACACTTCTGTAATTTGCAACATGGCGCGGTCGTTGGGATTTTTAGTGGTAGGCCTAATGCGAACTAGTGCGACAGGCTACAAAAATGGGGACACAGCTGAAAATGGGTTGTTTTGTTTTTTCGCGCTATGTAGAGCAAAACTATTCTGTGGATTTTTCTTAAATGAATATCAAACAAATTCCTTTCGACTTCCAAGTGTTGTGTACAAATTAGAAACGCAAAACTTCAGTGTGGAGGAAAATATTATCCAAAAAAGTTGTACATTAATTTTTCGATCACACCGTATAATATATGAAACTCTAAAAAAAAACCCACCCAACCTAATAGATAGGCCTAGGCATTTCAAAAACTGTTCTTTTTGTATTTCAAACAGATAAAGTGTTTTACGGTGCTCGCAACTGCATAAGGTCATATGAGCGTGCGGGGACACACCTAATATTTTCAGTTGGTAGGGAATTTTGAATTTTGCCCGGGTGGTGGCCGAAGCCTACTCTTATCGATTTTAGACCACCAAGGGATCTTTAAAGTGCGCAACTTGCACATGGGCCCTCCGAGATTTTTCTCCCTTTTCCGAGAAGGCTAGGTGTAGATCTTTCCTACCAGAAGATCAGGGGTGTGGCTGAAAGACAGCAGTAAGGAGGAGCCAAGGAGTAGCAGTAAAAAGGCTGTAGAAAGAGTCAGGAGCCCAGAGGAGGGGGCAAAGGAGGTGA